AAAGTAAGTCAAAGAGTAAATATCATTCATCTTATATATAGCATCCAGAAGTATTCGCAGCGGTAGAGAACTATAAAATTAATGTCTTAACTTTGTACAAAAATCCGACACGCACACTGATAAGAAGAGAGGGTGCTTCAATTATAGGGACATCAAGATTTTTACGTGGAAAACTCATAAAAAAGGTGGAAAAACCATGTGGCCTGGCCCAATTTGAATGTATCCATTATTATTTGCAGTCCATTACAAATGAGACCCTCCATTGGGGGGAAGGCCTTGGTTTGATGTATATTATATGAATTACATTACATGGTAGGAATACAAAGAATCATTGTTGATGTGATCGTTTGGTTAGAAGGACCATAGTCTGATGACGGAGGTCAGAAGAATTGCATGTAGTCGGTGGACGACATAGGTTAGAAGGATTGTAGTCGGTAAGCGACGTAAGTTATAAAGACCTTACATCAACGTATCTCTTATATATCCTGTTTGTTGCGTCTTAGAATATTCGCGGTGGTTAAGAGATGTAGGGTCTAGTGTCCTAGCAATGTACGTAGATTCAGTACATAAACATATAAGAGATAAGGGTGCAAAACTCGTTATAGACATTATAATTTTTACGTGAAAACCCTTAAAAGGGGGGAAAAACATGGGGCCTTATCAACTTTAAATGAATATACTAGTGTTTGCAGTTGATTACAAATAAAGCCTGTCCTTGGAGAGAAGGCATTGGCTCGATGTAACAAATATACATCATATAAAGCGCATTACATAGTGTGAGTTGGAAGAATCAGTGTTGACATGTTCGTTCGGTCGATAGGACCATAGTTGGTGGACGATGTTGGTCGGAGAAGCCATAATCGTTGGGTGATCGAGATTAGAAAGACTATAGTATGACAACGACGATCAGAGATACCATAGTCTGGAGATGGTGGTCAGAGAGACCATAATCGGTGGGGGCGACAAAGATAAAAAAGATCGTAGTCAGGTGACGATGGTTGGAGAGTCAAGTGACGATGGTTGGAGAGTCAGGTGATGATGGTTGGAGCAACTATAGTCGGTGGGAGATGGAGGTTGGAAATGCCATTATTTGATAATGGTGGTTGAAAGGACCGTAGTTAGTCAATGACAATAGGAGGGACCGTAGTTTAGAGATGATTGTTAGAAGGATTGTAGTCGACGGGCAACGAAAATTGAAAAGGTTGTAGTAAGGTGATGGTGGTCCAAAGGACTATATTCTGGTAACCATGGTCAAAGGACCGTAGTCAAAGGGCGATGGAGATTAGAAAGATCATAGTCGGGTGACGGTGATTGGAAGGACCGTAGTCAGTGGGCGCCGGAGGTCAGAAAGATCATTATTTAGTGATGGTGGTCAGAAGGATTATAGTTAGTGGGCGAAAAAGTCAGAAAGATCGTAGTCAGACGATGGTGGTCAGAAGAATCATAATCGGTGGGAAATAGATGTCGAAAAAGACCGTAGTTGGAAGGTTCATAGTCGGTGAGCGACGATTGGGAGGAAGTACGACGATGGTCGGTGGTCGGTAAAATATTCGATAGTGGTCGACGACGAGATAACTCCCCAAGTTTCCAAATACGCTTTGACCTCTTAATTTGGATTCATTTGGGCTCGGACTAGACCGAATTTGGTATGATTGGGTTCGTTCTTTGAGATTCTTCATTTGGCTATAAGCTTGCTGAACTCGAAGCTTGGATAATCCCGAAGTTAATTTTGGAAGTTTCTTATTCATATTTGCACTGAGATTCGTACCCGATTAAGACGACTTAATTTTGTGACATCTCAATGTTAATTATAAAATTCAAGTACTCCAACTACCATCTTCTATATTTTGAAGCTTTTGCTTATAAACCTTATCCAAAGCCATGAAATTTATGTTGTTCTAGTATTTTTTAATGTAAATTTTATGTAATCCATTTGGCATCTCTACTATAAAATTCATCAACTGTAAAATAAAAATAAATTCAAAATTTTACATAAAATTAATCGGTGCATATGATGTTTCACCTTTTGCTCACAATTTGAAATAATTGTTATCTCAATAACATCAATAATAGATCCATGTAAATGAATTAAAATTATAATTAACCTGTAATGTGAACCTCAATGTGTATTTCTAATTTGTTTAAGGGAAATTATTTTATTCAATCATTTACCACAATTGCTACTTCTCCATTTCTTAATTGTTCCACAAGCTTAGTTGTTTCTTTCATAAAATATCTCTTCTCTTATACGATCTTTCAATAATATTTATCATATTACAAACTATATTGAAAAATAAAATAAGTTGTACATAGTTTTAAGCCACAATAATACGTGCTAATTAGAGTTGATTTCTATTTAAGTTTGCTTTAAATTTTTATTATAATTACCACTAATAATACTATTTGATATTTTGATATGTGTAAAGTTCATATGCTCCATTCTTTCCCTTAAACTATTTCTCCATTACTAATAAAATATATATTTTTAAATAATTTAATTAAGAATTTTAGTGCTTTTTAAGCCATAAAATATTTTATTGACTCATAAAATATCTTATTTTTCTCGGTATTCAACAATTTCAATTATGTAAGGATTTAGAATTCATGAACAAAATTTTCTTATAAATTAAAATTGGCCTCCATATATTTTAGGGCGAATTATTATGTCCTGATCATCGGACGTCCGAACATCCAATCCAGACGTGCCATGTCGGGTGAATACATTGGGTCCCGATATATTTTGGTGACATGGTGCGTCTGAATTGGTGTCCGAACGAATCGGGACACCAGAGTGTAATAATTTGCCCATTTTAGGTTGTAGGTGGTTATGATTTACTTTAGAAAAGATAAATATTGCATATTCAAAAATCTTTAAGCAATTTCTTACATAATTATGCTTATTACAGTGAAAGATTAAGGCTTCGTTTGGGACGGCTTTTTTACTGCTTTCTAAAACGGAGTTTTAGTACAAAATTTTTTATTTTTGTACTAAAACTCTGTTTTAGAAAGCAATAAAAAAGCCGTCCCAAACGCAGCCTAAGGCTCCGTTTGGGATGGTTTTTTTAGCGCTTCTAAAGCGTTTTCTAGTATAAACGTGTAAATATTTATACTAAAAAATAGCTTTAAGAAGCAATAAAAAAGCAGTCCCAAACAAAACCTAAGGCTTCTTTTGGGACGGCTTTCTTATTGCTTCTTAAATCAGCTTTCTAGTACAATTTTTTTTTAATTTTTTAACTAGAAAGCAGCTTTAAGAAACAATAAAAAAGTCAACTCAAACGAAACTTAAAAGGAGATAAAAAGAGAAATCTAAAAAGAAAAAAGAAAAATGACAAGTTTGAAACATGATATTATAAGATAAAAAATTATGGATGATCGAAAAGAAAAGAAGATGACTAATATATCTCAAGCATAAATCTCTCATAATGTCACCTCAATCATAACGAAGAATGGAGAAAGATGACAAATGGCAATGAACATCGTTGAATGACGTTGAACAGTGGGAACAACAACCAAACAATTATAATTCACTTGCTCAAATATGCCTCACTAACCCATTTGATCTCATGACTCAACATCAAAGCCCTACATGAGGTCCTGGTTGGGTACCCATTGGGTATCCATGTTTTACTCGGACGGGCTTCGCCCACCCACACCCACCCATGATGACTTCCGGGATTTCGTACCCACCTATACCCACCCACTTTTCATGTTTTTTGAGCGCAGTCTGCCACGGACTGATGACCTTGAGGTTTGTTGTCATTTGTTATGATGGCAAACTTTCAAGTCGCATATCAAAATTTATAGTACTCGTATTGTGGTTAAGTGCTACACAATACGTAGTGATGATTGCAGAAGTATAAGTAAGATATACGGTGATTAGCAATGTAAATCGATTTATCCCTCGATATTTAGTACCCACCCATACCCACCTATAAGGCCATGGGCGTACCCATACCCACCCATACTCATTGGGTATGGATGGGTACATGGGTGGGTGTGGGTATGGGTACCCAATGCAAGGCTCTGCTCACCATTTCTTTTAACCTTTTTTAATTGAATTATTTTTGGCTAAAATATTTGTTAAAATATAAATAAAACAAGTAGCCCAATTACAAAATGATATATAAAATATAAACACAAATGGTCTTATTATTTTCTAAAGTAAAATTTCATTAAAAAATTTTCTTGAAAGTTGTCAAAAAAATAGTGGTTAATAACTGTCACAAATAAAGCCTAAGTATTATTAATTCTCTTTTGATATTTACCAACTTATAATTAATAAAATTTAGAATAGAGTTTAAAATAATAGAATCCCTTTTTTAATTAAATCTGTATATTAGATGTTATTGATGCATCAAAGAACAAATTTATAGTTTCTTATTATGCTTTAAATTTGCTTTCTTGACCTTTCTGTAATCTCAAGCAATGTCTTCTAATATTTTCCGATCGAGAATCACGGTCCGGCGACCGTACCGTCGGTAACTTATCGGTAGTTAACGGAATCCGACGCGAGATCCGGCGGCACGGCCCCACACTGAAAGAAAAGTACACGCATAGCAAACGGATACCAGTGGCATCTCCGCAATTTTCTGTATTAACAGTGGCGTTTACCATTAAAAAAAAAAATAAAAGGCCATTTTTGGTTCCAGCAGAAATACGTTTCGTAGGCATTGTTCGGCGGGGCTCCTAACCGTTCGCCATCCCCAGAAATTCTTAAAATATTTAAACAAAAACATTATTTTGAAAATTGATTAAAATGGCATTATTCCAATTGTGCCCTTTTCCGTATTTTTACTATTTTGCCACACAGGCATGGAAAATATTTTTCGAATACCGATCAGCATACTATTTTTTCCGGATTTGGGTGGCTCGTGCTAATAAAATATTCAATTTATTTTTGAAAGATATCTCAATTAATAGTTACTGTTTCACTTAATTACCAACTAATTTATTTGTTTAGTTGCGAATAACATAATTCTATTTCCCCTTCCCAGCTCACCCTTAATTCTCTCCCCTCGATCCTGTGCGCCATTTTCTCCAAAGCTGCCGTCGGAGCACCTAAATCCGGTGATCGCCGAAGCTGGTGGCAGTTTTCCGGCTAAACCCGGCGGTTTTAGTGAGACAGCAGGTGTTTTTTTGTCAGGAATACGTTGGGGAAGTGCTAGGGAGTAGTTATCGTTGGAGCTTGAGTTCCTCTGCACGAGTTTTTTTTTTTCTTGATCTTGTTTAGGCCTCTCCAATGGCAAAAGCTAGTGGAAGCCCTATGGCTGTGAATCGAACGGCAGAGTTGTCTTTATTCCATTGTTGAAAGGGCGATCCATTGTCCAGGATCGTTTTGGGAGGAGAAGGTGGCGGCGGAAGATTCCAGAGCTGAGAAGGCAATTTGTTCCTTGGGTTTCTCCTGCTATATGTTTCTTTATGGAGAGGAGGGAAGGGATGCCAGTTTCTGGGGTTGCGATGGCGTTAGAGGAAGCTGGCGCGAGCTCCCAGTTTCCACAGAGAGCCTCAGCGCCAGCGCCGGAGGAGCCGAGTATAGAGAGTCCTAGTCACGGTGGTGGAGTCATTTCATTGACTGCGACGGCGGCTGGGATGGGGCCGGCGGCTCAGCCGCAGCCGCAGCCGCAGCAGCCTGTGCTGGCTGGGCCATCTTCTTCTGAGGTGGCGATCGCGTCCGGGTCTCTTAGCGCAGCGATGCCGGTGAAAAAGAAGGTCGGGAGGCCGAGAAAGTACGCACCTGATGGGAGCGGAAAAGTGATAAAGCGGGGTAGAGTGCGGAAAAGTGGTTTCCTAACTAAGGACAAACAAAGGATTGACTTGGAAGCATTAGGTAATGGCGTCACAACTTCTTCCGTTCTTGTTCTTATCGGCTAGGTATGCATTTCACCATCACGAAACATCCGTATGAGATCCGACACATATGCGAGCTTTGGAACCTTGGATTGTTTTGCAGGTTAATATTGATTTTGTCCATCTTAAGCTTCTGATTTAGTGCTTTATGGCCTCTTATTCGATCTTCACTAGCATTTAAGTATTTTAATTTGCTTCTACAAAATCCTTGTAAAGTTTAGGTTCTTTGGATCTTTTTGGCCAATATTTAACTTTATGGTTCCCTAGTTTGTTTGCGGGCATGCTCTTCTTTATGTCACCGTCGTCATCCGCTCTCTCCTTTCTCGTCTGCATTGGGTACATTGCTTTCAACTTTGAGTTTTGAGGTAGTTGTTGGGAAGTGCGTGGGACCACTAGATAGATGGGTGGCTTCAGATCTATAATGAATTTGGTTCTAGTTTGTGGGGTTGGATGGGAATCTGAATCATGCTGAGTCACCCTTCTGCCTAACCATAACAAGTCTGTTTTTTTATCCCTAGCGTCTCTCTATTTTGAACTGGGCGTATAAAAACAGATCATTTGGACCATTTGTATATGGAAATTCTTAAGAAATCTTTGTGGGATAATGTAAATAATTGGTCCCTTCTATGAGACACATGGAACCCGATTCAGATGCTGATACTGTTTATAGAAATCTGTTCGTCAAAGTATTCTAAGGTTTATTTCCTTGTTGTTTTTGCTGTTTGTTAGTGATGTGACAGTGGATTAACTTTTTCAACTCCTGTTTTATGCTTCTGATAGTAGCCATCCTGTTGACATCCGACTAGAAAGTGGATTTTCATCAATTAGTTCATTAGATTAATGACTTCTTTTAATTTTCATCTAATTGTACTTTTTTATTATTATAACATGTTCTATTTCTCGGATTGTTTTGTTTTTATTTTTGTAATTATGTAAAGAGTTCCTCTAAGGTATTTCAATCATATGTTTGTTAAGCTATTGATAGATATGACCCTTCTTATTATGGAATTTAGTTTGATGTATATAAAATTTAAATTTGATGCCCCTTGAGAATTAGTTCAAGGAAAGTGTTTCTTAGGTGTGAAGTTGTGTGAAGGAGTGTCGTCACGTAATTCGGTGGGCAGCATAATTTTACCTTTGCCTCCTTTATTTATTCTCTTTTTTACTTTTTCATTCCTCCAACTGTCCCTCGTCTTCTTTAAACCCTTATGGTCAACCTTCATCTCCACCTTCAATTTATTGCAATCTATTCCAAGTTCAATTGTGACATTTTGGTCCCTTTCTTGATATATCACAGCAATTAGCTTTAATAAATTGAGTTTCACTTTCATGATGGGTTTTGTGTTCAATGTTTGGCTCCATTGAGCAGTGCTTTACTGTGTTGTGCTATTGAGAAAAGCATGTGATTGTTAGGCATAATCATTTTTAGAGTTGAAATCCATGCTCTCCCTGAAATCTATGTTCTATTAGACTTGAGTAAACTCATTCGCGAAATCAATCCAATAATGAAATTTAGAGCAATGGACAATAGTGAAAAGAAGTCTCCAAAAATAGAAGAATCAAGCCTCACATTTGTACAAAGAGTTAATCCATCTAAGTTATCTTCAAGTTTCCTAGTTAAACAAGTAGTTGATTATTGGAAGTAGAAGGAATGACAAATCATTTGGATTTTTATTAATAATACAATTGATTGTGCTTTGTTCATGTTTAAACCCCTATTTATATTATTAAAAATTCCCTTGGAATTCCCTTATAATTCTATCATCAACACAAAAGAATGCAGAAGTCACCTATAATTTGGATGAAAACTAGCAAAAATTGCAATATAAGAAAAAGCACCAACTAAACCACAAATTTTGTCAAGGAAAAAAAAAACTAGAATAGCCCAAATCCCAAATAACTTGAACTACCATAATTCATGAACACCATACACTTGTAATTGTTTTCAGCTTATATGACACCAAACACCAACAATGCTTACGACTTGCATCATCAGATGTTTTCATTAAAAAAAAAAAACTAATACATTAAAAAAGGAAGGTTACAAAAGAAGACCCCACACATGGCCATATAAATAGCTTACAAGAAGAACAACAAAAAGCATAGAAAAGACCAATATGAATATGAGTCGAAAGACGCAGACTCAGATCAGCTTCGGGTTGTCAGGGCGGGGCCATCCAGTAGGAAAAAACAAACTTGAAAGAAACGGGCCACCCAGGTTGCCAACCAACCCTGGCCATCCACGACGCGTGCAGCATCGCTGCTTCCTCATCGTCCATATCAAAACTGTTTGAACGGGCAATCAACAGGAAGACCCTCAATACTATGATAGACACTAGGGGAGACCAAATTCATACCAAGAGGAAGAAAAGGTTGAGCGTCAGGGGATAAAATAGCGACAACCTCAACACCATTAACATCACCAACCACATTAGTTTCCACAGCATTTTCCACAGCTTACAAACCGACCAAAATAGGGGAGATAGAAGCGCAAACAGGCGAGATAACAGTGTTCACCACATGTGTCAAACTAATTAAGTCCTCCTGAATAAGCAAAGGCGAACCAGGAGCACAAACATTACCACCTAAACTATCAATAGCAGTATTCACAGCCAATTTACCACTATCTGAACTCAACATCGCAGGAGCCTCAAGGGGTAAAACAACAGGTAAATCGCAATCCAAAGTAACAGGAGCCACCTCAACAACAGGCGGGACAACCACACGAGGTTGAAGGATAGGGCAATCAAGTTTTGAGTGACCCAGAGACTTACAAAGAGAGCAGTAAGAAGGAAAGGGATCCATAACAACGGATTGAATATAGCCTAAGCTCTCAGAACTTATCCAAATTTTCTCAGGATACACCTTGGTAACATCTAATTCCACCAGCACTTGAGCTACCAAAGGTCGCCCACCAAAGGAGGTAGCCTGATCAATTTTGAGTGGTTTACCAAACATGGAACCAAGACCATATAAAATTCTCGGGGCAAAGAGGTGCGGCCTGAGGTTAGGAAAGGAAACCCATATAGAGATAGAAGGGATTCAACATCAATGTCAAATGTAGGGGACCATTTGAAAATCTTCATGAAACAATTGTTCACGAAATAAGAGTGATGAGAAAAAACGCGACAGTAATCCATGTCAAGCTTGATAAGAACATGCTTAGAGTTAAGAACAGTGACAGAGAAAACACCATTAAGTTTGAGATTGAAAAAAAATTATGAATTGCTTCCAACGATGGACGATGAGTAGGAAATTTACCGACATGCTCAAACTCAAAAGAGGAAGCAAGGGCTAGCACTTCCTCATCCGAAATCTAAAGTTAAGGAAGTCCCTGAAAAGACGAAACCTTTAGAGCAGGGAAAGTGGAGTTCGAGGCAGGAGAAGAACCCGCTAAAGCCTCACGGAATGACCGAGAAGAAGACGAACCAGATAATAATCCAGGATCCAAAAGCCTTTTACCCTCCATGACTAAAAAAAACACAGAAAAACGAGAAAGAACGGAGAAGAAATCTTTCCTGAGGTGGCCAGAGTACCACGCAGCGAAAGAAGAGTCGGCGCCAAACACCAAACCCTAGCAGAGCGAATCATATGTATCAAATATATTATATGTGTCATCAGATGTTTTCATGCATAAAAACAAAAGTTATTCATAGGAACCACAACCTCAATTATCACATGGGAAATAGAAACCAAAGGAAATAGGAGGATAAGCTTGAATACTTATTGGAGTAAGATAGTCATAGGGTCCACTATTTTGCTAGAACTCTCCAGCAACATGGAACATGATGAAGAGATATAAAAACCTATATTCACAAGCAAAAAAATTTCCATAAAGTAATATAGACATAATATATCTATCAGAATAAACAATGGAAGGAAATCAAATTTTTATTTCATTATCATAAATTTATATACCAATACATTATCCAAACAAAATTACTATATGTAAAAGAAATATGAAAGAAACAATAACAAAAATGAAACCGCCCATTCCTCAAAAGAAAGCACATAAATGACTTACTTCAAAGTTTAAAATGCCAAAATATGTTTGAAGGTGATTCTTTCTCCTTCTTGATTCTTCTACTTTTGAATTCCAAATTCTTCACGAGAATTTGTTCAAAGCAAGAGATTGTGTCCACTTGTTGCCATCCACTAGTATTCGTAGGATTTGTTACTTCCTTTGCCGTAGATCTCGTTGTTAAACAAGGGATAAGTTGGAAACTACTTCGCATGCAATGTTTTAATTTTCCTATGTGTTTTGATCTAGCTTAGTCTCTTGTGTAGCTTAGCCTAAGCGAAACAAACCATTTATTTGTTTTACGTTGCTGTTTTAATCGCTTATTACGAGAATCTGAAATTGCTCTTAAATATTTTGTGCAAATCTCCAATTACGCATATAGTTCTACATCATTTACTCACAGGGTGATGGCTCACCAAGCACTCTGTATGATGACCTGTATGAAAAGAGACAATAACGACTGAGTTTGATAAATCAAATTCAGCTAGTAATTTCTATTTATTAAAACATAAATGATAAAAGAATGATGCATGCATGATGATCGATCAAATAAGAAGTGGCAATCGACAATCAAAATATCAATGTAACCAGGTCACATATCATGGTTCCTATAACGATTATACTATGTTGCTGTTGCAAATGTGCATGTCTACTTGTAATTAATACAATGTCAATTAAATTTGTGCACTTATAATCATGTTAGTTATCATCATACCTCTTTATGGCCCATTAATCATTCATTGTATTTAACTCATATCTAATTATATTTCTATACATTTATATGTTCGTAATTATAATCAATTTTATCAAATATCTCGCACCGTGAAAATAAACACCAACCCAAGAAAATCCAGTGATTTTCTATAGAGTCATCATTCTGAGGATTCATTGGCCAAACTAGTTAATATCCAATAGGGTTCTACCAACTTATATACAAGCATATAATGCCTATACCTTTA